ACTTTCCTGATGACTTTATGGGCTTAATCTCAAGTTCTGGGTCATACTGACTAAAACACGAGGCACCATCATGGGACTTCACTAACCAATTGGTAACATTATTTTAATCTTTTATTTACAGTCTATGTCATCAGCGTGTGAATGGGTTGTGAAATTAAGTTAGACATGTTAAAGGGATTTTTCCCCAGTCGTCTTTAAAAGCCTTTTCTGCATTATAGTTAAAATGAATTTTATTCCTGGGAAAATCCAAAGTACTGCTTCCCACACAGAAACTTTACTTAGGCACACTACGCAATAATAATAATACCTGCTCAAAGAAATCTGAAAACTCATTGTGGCATTTTACATTTTGCAATCTGTATGAGAGAACTATGCCACTCCATGATCACTTTACATCCCTGCTTTCTTATTTTGAATGGTCACTGCTAACCAGCTAGGCTGCCTGATGATTGTGCTGATCGATACTGATCACTGGACTCCCCAGAGACATGCGTCCATGGCTGAACGTACCCATTCACCCATCTTTGATTGTAGCTGGCAACTGTAGTCTCTGTTACTCTGAAGATCAGGTCTGGTCTGTAACTCTAAGGAGAAGCAGGTGGAAAACGACTTTGTGTTCCCAAACAGAGCTCACAAGAACTGCCAATTTCAGTAGAAAAGGGTGGAGCTGAAGAGCACCGGTGAGCTGGTACAGGTGGCTTTTAAAAATATTTAGTCATTTATATGGCACAAAAGGATTGTAATGATATATTATATATATATATTTTTTTTTTTTAATTTAGAGCTGTGAATCATGCAAAGCTTTTTAAGTAGATGCCAAGGAAAAAAAAATATTGAGCTGCAATTGATGAGAACAGGTCAACTTTAACAACAAGGCTTTTCAGAAATTTGCACAGAGAAACTTTAAATCATAATTTATGCCCACATAAAGCCTATACTTTAAAAATAAATGAATTTCAATATTTTTTCTCTTTTTTTAAGTAAACTCGATGGTTCATCTTAATTCCTCCCCTTCGTGTCTGGTTGACCAGGCTATTAAAAAAGTAAATAAATAAATAAATCTGGCTCTCTTACATAAGCACTAATAGCTGGTTTGAAAAGTCGTGGGTTGAGAGAAACAGCTGATAACCCCCCTTTTTCTGAAACAATTACAATTGCCATTGTTGCATCTGCACAGATGGTCCAAATAACAGCACATATTTGACCTTTTTTGCATGTGTACTTTTTGGATTAAGTCACCATTACAAAGCAAGAGTGTTTACAGTAAAAATGCATCTACCTTTTACTGATGACATTGCTTAACCTTAAAATGGACCAATCATGCTCATTTCCACCTCCATATTTTTTTTTCCCCTTGGGCTCTAGTAGAGTAGCTTTCCATGACTCAAAAGAACCCCAAACTTGTTTATCCTATACTTGGTCTCAGCTTATTACCTGGCTCCTCTCCCTTTAAGCCAACAGTCTTCTGATTGGCTACCTCAGCAAACAGATGGTTTGAACACCAGATAGGTGGAGCTTCTGTGCTACTTCTTTCACATCATACAAAGCCAAAAGTAGGGTATTCACCATTGCAAGAGTTTATATATGACAGATGGAAGGTGAATCGCTTCAGAGCTGACATAAAATGCTCTTCAAGAGCTCAGTCATATCTACAAATAATGTAGGTCCTTGGAGCAAACATTCAATTCTCAAGGTACATCTTTATCCTCCACTTCATAAGTATGCAGACATACATCCCATGTAATCTGCCTCTATATGACTGCCACTGAAACAGCTCACTGTCAAGTTTTCTAATAAGGTCAAACATGGCCAGATACCCCACGATACTTTCCAATTAGCGTCCCAGGTGGAAGAAAAACCTGAAGTTTCCCCACTGCATCAAACAGCAAAACAACTACTGAAGAAAACGTATAATCTCTGACTCTTTGGCCCACTAGAGCCTGTAATTATGTCAATAAAACACATTCTATATATAAACAACAATAGGCAGTTAAAGTGGGTGTTATGTCAGGGTGTTCTGGTGACTCACTTCATAGAGAAGCACACCCCATGTGCTTGTGGTATTGCGAGCTTGACTCCAGCAATTGAAAGCCTCACAAAAGACTTGAAATCAACGCCACAGGCTAGCAGCAACTGGCTAAGACACTTACTTACATGTTTGCTGCGGCTTGTGAGCGTCAACAATGCTCTGTACACTGGCACACAAGCCACATGTGCTCAATCAGGACAAATTTTCTTGACTGCTAGCTGGTGCGTTTGCTAAATAATTTAGCTGAATCTCAACATTCACAAGCTGCTGCCAGCTGTTAAGAAAATTTAGCTTGAAGCCCAATTTTTATAAGCCTCATTCAGTAACTTTGCATGTACAAAAATAACCCCGATTACCATGACTAATGAGATAAAGGATAATTGATTTAATGGAAGCACTTGAATGCCCCAGCGATTAAGTTTATATGAGCTGCATGATTGTCAAGGGACTGTCTAGAGACATGTGCGATAGCCTAAGGCTAACAGGAAATATATTGTATTTCATGCCAATGAAGTTCATTTGAAGGGAACCACAGACATCACACAAATAATCAAGAGTTAAAGCCTGACAAGCAGTCAGTAGTGTCCTACAACTTCTTAAAAACACCACATTTAATAGCCTAAAAACGCTTGGTGGGGTGTTTTGCTGGAAAAACTGACAGGAAGAAACACTTTCCGCTTTAAAAGCTTTAAAATTGTTCTCTTCCCATACAACGTGTGGTTGTTGTAGGCAGTTTGACAAGGCGTGGACGTGTGTAATCTATGAATGGCAAGTATAGTGGTGCTAAAAGAAGAACCTGCATTTAACCAGTTGAGTCTAGAAACAGAATTTAAGGGCGAGAGAAAACGGGCAGGCAATAAAATCACAAACATATGGACACTGTACTGAGTCTACCGCATAAAAATTCATCTAAAGAGGGCATGCATGGTGAAATGAATCTTCTGTAAATAAGCCAAAAGCAGACTAGTTCCAGCTCCGTAGCTCTCGTCCACCATGCACTTCCTTAATGCCTCTCACATAGCTGAGAACTAATTTTTTTTTCCCCGAACATCTCCCAGCTCCTTGTTTTCTGCAACTCTCACTCAAAAGACAAGACAGAAGGCTAAGTCATGAGCACAAAATTAGACACAGATTTGCTTATTATAGAAACTGTTATGTACTTAATCTGAACGAGAAAGAGAGGCCTCGATCCAAAGTGTGCCAAAGAGTTGCATTTTTATAGCCAGGACAAAATGTTATGAAATGGGCCAAGAAAGAATGTTGCAAGCTCCAGCAAGCAGCTTGCATGAAGTAGGGAAGTGAGGAGAGTCTGTGTGTGGGGGAAAAAGTTAACCATTCTGGTGCTGAGGAGCTTAATTCCCACATAATCAAACTGCAACATGATTAACATGAAACTAGGCTGGACGATAAGGCTGCTCATGAAGGAAAGTAAACCTGTTAAACTGTAAACTTCCTGTAAATTAAGATAGTAAATCAATTTCCACCGGAACATTTCTAAATTAAAGTTGACTCAACGACAAATGTTTTTATAGGAGTGACATTCCTGTTGTGGCATTTTAAACCATTTCACAAGCCTTGGTCCTATTTTGAGTCCAGACTTTCAACACAGTGACATCCAGTTATGTAGTGAAGGCAAACTAATGGACTGTGGGTCAGCAGTCACCGCAAAATATGTAATCAAAATCACTTAAACAGCAAGCATCTCTAATCTCAAAAGATCCTCTCCACATGTAAGAAAGTTGCCAGATTAAAACTAATGCTGTTGTAAGGTTTAGTTTAAATCAGGGATGTCAAACTCATTTTAACATTGGGGGCCAGATACAGCCCACTTTGACCTAACTACATGTTTGAACTGAATGATAGAAAAATAATTTTTTGTAGTAAATGAAAGAAGTCTGTCAGCGTGACTCTTAAATTGTAAGAAAAAAACCTGTAAAATTACATGCTACAATTAGGTGTATCCATTGCACACATAAATGACCTAAAAATAATCAAATATAGCAACCATACATTTCTATAATAGACAAAAAAACTGGAACCTTTCAAACATTTAATTTTTAAAATCTTTGGTGTAGCTTGAATCTCCATGTGGGTGCCTTTAGAAGTAAAGACAAAGCTGTAAAACATTTGAAAATACTGTTAAAAGTCCAAAATTTATACCCTCAATCATGTCTTCCAAACTTTGTAGTAGGGTCTGATTGGAGTCTTTGCCTGGCCTCCAAGCCTTAGGTTTGACAACCCTTGTTTAAACGGTCTTTTTTTTTTTTCTTTTTTTTTTTTTAATATATGGGTCCAGTGTATGGGGAGCTCTTTGCAATTTGCTTTCCTTAAACTGGAAATGTAAATAAAAGTTTGCAAGTGGCCAGATTTATCAATGACCACAATAGATACCTGCTAAAACTTCTACTAAAATTGAAGTCATTTTATAAATAGTTGACAGGATTTTTTTTATTACTGGAACACAGAGAAAACCACAGGAAATAAAGCATGCAAATCAAGCTTAGGTTTGTGGATATTTAGTGCTTATGAGGACAATGAATCACTGCACTGTCTCAATCAAGCATATAGCCACAATAAAAGATATACCTACAAGCTGCTCCAGCAACGTCATTAAAATAAATAAATAACCAAGAGCTAGAGAGACAATAATATATCTTGTCTTTATCATTTGCCCTTTTTAAAATTTTTTTTTAAAGAAACCGGAATCGGCTGTATTTCTGTGGCATGGGAGACAATGCTAGGCCGCCATGTAAAGCCTGGAAATGGGAGGAAAAAGGAAGAGGGCAGTGTGGCCACCCCTGCCTCACCTCCTGGGGGATACACAGAGAACCAGGAGACGGGGGGGAGGCTGGGTATGATATGAAGGGTCAGTATGGAGGAAAAGGTGGAGGTTATAAAGGGAAGAGGGTACATGTGAGACAGATATAGGATACAAGAGGCTAGGTGGAGGCGCCTGTTAATTTTGACCCACCATAAAGTCGCTGCCGAAGTTATCCTCTCCCCTCTCATCGTTCCCGTCGCTCATGGCCTTCACCCCCTGGATAAACTTTCTCAGGATGCCGGCTTGGTCCATTTCTTCAATCTTCTTGTTGCCTTTTCCTTTAAAAAATCTCCCAAACTGGCAGGGGGGTAGGGGAAATGTTACAAAATAATAAAACAAAAGCGGACACAGGGAAAGAGGGAAGAAGGAAGGGAGGGGAATAAATAAAAATAAATAAGCTTCACGGGTCCTCCCAGAGAGTCATCGTCCGCTCACAACACAACACCTTTTTTTTAAATTATCGCCCCATGTTGTTTCTCCCTTTCCTTCTTTCTTTCTTCTGGACTGTTTTCACAACGACAGCGGTTAGTCCCAGAGAAAAGCAGCAGCGGCCGGATTTTCTGCCCCGTAAACAACTTCACAACCGCGGCGGTGCACGAACTGTAAACACTTGGCTATGCGAGAAAAGAAAAATAAAGGAAAAAAGACAAGAGCCTGGGTCTGGCCAGCTTATGTACCCCTCCCTGTCTACCTCGGTTGCCACATTCACACACTGCTGCTCGTTTTTCGCTACTGGGGAACATCCGGACTGGGTAAAGCCAAGGAACAATTAGGCCCGCCCCTTCCAGGATATACTTAGATCTGATTGACTAACGCTGACCAGGAATTAAAATCCAAGTGGCTAAACTGGGTGTCGCTCCACCCTATAGCGTGTTCTCATTGGATAGAATCTGTGCCTGTCGTTTTGACGCTATTCGTCATTGGTGAGCTAAATTACGATCCAAAAACGTAAGGTTTAAATAAACGGCGTTACTGTTTTGCTGTAATTTTTATCGATACTTAAAAAAATTAGTTGTTTTTATTCGATGATATGCTGCTTCACATAAAAAAATGTTTTTTCTTACAGTCTGATAATTATATATCTAAATAGGTCATCAGTATTATTACATTTAATTGGGAAAACAAACACATTTATATCTTCGTGAACGATATAGTCCTACTCTACTGTACATTTTACATAATTTCATTTGTCTAAAACTTTAGTAACCAAATTATTTCTCAATCCTATCTTAGTATTGTAATACTTCGCACTTTACGAGTATAGGTATATATTGCAATTCACTCTGCGTGTCAGCGCTACTTAACAAATACTAATTTAATGGGAACTGTTTATCAGAATGTACAGATACACCTTTCTAGATCTGTCCTGGTAATTTGAATTACTATAACCTTCTCTATAACCTGCTCTCAGAAAATGCCACTCACTGAATATTTTTCTTTCTTTTAGACCATTCTCCATAAACCCCATTTAAAAAACTCAGTAGATCATCAGTTTCTGAAATACTCAAACCAGCTCATGTGACACCAGCAACAATTCAGAGTCACTGGAATCAAACTTCCTCCCAATTCTAATGCACAGTTTGAACTTTTGCAGGTCGTCCTGACTATGTCTATATGTCTATGTCATGCGTTAAGTTGATGCCAGATGAGTGGCTAATTAGATATTTGTATTATAACAGGTGTACCTAATAAAGTGGAGGTGAGTGTGTATATATGCATGCATTTCTGTTTCTTCACATCGGTGGAAAAACATTGTTGGATGATTTTTTTATTTGTCACTTTCTTAAATCAGTGATCACATTCATTATTAGAAAAATAGAGGACATCAGTAAACGTTTGCATACATTTGCATACATGTATTGTAATGAAATCTATTGGCCTTCAATATCTAACTATCCGTGGTCTAAAATCAGAAAGAATAACTATAACAAATAATCCTAAAACTAAAATAGATAGATAGATAGATAGATAGATAGATAGATAGATAGATAGATAGATAGATAGATAGATAGATAGATAGATAGATAGATAGATAGATAGA